TGTTCTGAAGGTTGTTCTTCCTAACGTTTCGCCAGTCTCCTGTCTTCTGAAGATGCCGGCCACAGAGACTGGCGAAACATTAGGAAGAACAACCTTCAGAACATGGCCAAAGAGCCCGAAAAACCCACAACAGCCATTAGATCCTGGCCGTGAAAGTCTTTGCGAATACACTGAGAAGAAACTTCTTTATTCGAATTATCTGTTTTTAAAATGCTCTTGAGTGAAAGCTAACAAATTCTGTCTTTTTTTCCTTTCTTGTCCTGCTCCTAGATGTGGTCACTCTCCTGTGTATCGCTCACGTGACCTGGCCGGCCGAGCTCTTGTTCCCTTTATTATGACAAACCTGGTGCCCCAGATGGTGTCATCTTTGATGGCTGGTCTTCCAGATTACACTGATCCTTGTATACGACAGAATACTGTTCATGGAACACTGCTACAAGTGAGTGCATAATGCCATGTATTGTCAGTTAAGGCAACAGATTTAGAACAGTTTACAAGATAGTTTATTCACAGTTTCTCAAGATATGAGGAAAATGCCCAGCAAACTGTAGATGTGTGGAAGAAGTGCTTGAAGCATGTGGTTAGCATACAAAAGGTTCCAAGTTCAGTCCCCAACCATTCTCAGTAGAGCTTGAACAGATCATTGGTTAAATCCCTAGATGACTCATGGTATATAAACCATACTGACCTGAATGACTGGGTGTGAATCAGTTACTAGGATTTCTATGGTCTTAGTTTTTGGGGTATTATTTTACATATATTTGTAGGTTGGTCTCCAAATAGCCTCCAAACATTTTGAACGTAAATATTCTGCAGGAGAAATGGCATTGTATGAATAAGAAATATAGCAGAAGTAACCTTTTCTTTTTTTGCTTCAGGGAGACTTCTCTAATTTAATACCTTTTAAATTCTTTTAAGATTTATTCGTGAAGGAAAAGCTGCTCTCTCCACGTACCATGCAGATATTCATTATTTGTGTCTTTTTAATTAGTGTGTTGTGTATTGATTGGTTGCTAAGCTGAAGTGTTAATTAGGAAAACAAATGTAGTGACATAACTAAGACTATAGGCTTTGTACTTGTAATTGTATTGCTGAATTTGTTAACAAGCAAGAGCTGTGCGGTAAAACGGTTCAAACATCAACTTGTTGCATCACAATAAAACAATTTCTAAATACAGTGGTGCCTTGACTTACAAATCTCCCGACTTATGATCAGTTCGAGTTATGAGCAGCTCCGGCCGCAAAATTTTGCTTCAAGTTGCTACCGGCGCTTCGAGTTACGAATGGAAAAAAGGGGAAAGCGGGGAATTTGAACTGCTTTCAGTTACTCGTCAGTCAGCGAAGAGGCTGCTTCTCTGTAGCTCTTTTGCCCCAGCAGTTAGAGAGTGTGGGTTCGGAGAGAGACTTTGGAATGCCTGGTACTGTACTGTATTGTACTGTGTATATTTCTGTCGTGTTTATTTTTAAATTTTTTGCTTTTTTGCTTTTTGCTTTTTGACTTTCTTTTTTAAAACGGAGAGACTGCCTGTTCTGGGTGAGTACTCTACAGTGGAGTCTCAACTTACGAACGGCTCCACTTATGTACTTTTCGACCTACGGACTTCTCTGGCCACAAAATTTTATTTCGACGTGCGGCCGGAGAATCGACCTACGGACCAGAAGGGGCAGGCGGGGAAAGCACCCAATTCAAATTTGGTGTTTCCCGGCCTCCCCCTTCCAGTCCGTAGGCTGTAGGTTGTGCCTCCACAAGCCCTGCAAGGCATTTGGAGGTCCCCTGCTGCCACCGCCGCTGCTGGTAGCCAAGCTGCGCTGGGCAACCCAAGCCATGCTCGGACTCCTGGGAATCCAAGCATGGCTGGGATAGCCGGGCGCACCTCGGCTCTCAGCAGCGGCGGCAGGGTAGGGGGATTTTTCCCCCCTTAAGCCTATGTTTGAACATATAATTGGGCTGGGACATTTTTATGAGTGATCTGGCGGGAAAGGCCAGATTACTCATAAACATGTTTAAACTTGCTTGTGGGTTCGAGTATAGGTTGCAGAGAAAGTGTGAAAATGTCATAGAAATCCTCACCCTATGACAGCGAGTGTAGAGTGTAGGTCTCAGAGAGCTTGCTGATGTGACGAACCAGGCAACCCCAGCCATGGTTGGACTCCCAGGAGTCCAAGTATGGCTTGGGTTGCACGGCGCGGCGCAGCTCCCAGCGGCGGCGGCGGGGGACCTCCGGATGCCTTCCAGGCAGAGAAGCAATGGAAGGCATCCAGAGACACCCCCCCACCCTGCTGCCGCAGTAGCAGGGTGCCTTCAAAGCTCTCAAAGGGCTTCCTCCAATGTCGGAGGGAAAGCCTTTTGAGAGCTTGGAAGGCAAATAGGCAGGGAGAAAAAGGCTGGAAATTGGAATTTCCCACCTTTTCTCCCTGCCTTTTTGCCTTCGGAGATTTCCGCCGGACATCGGAGGAAGCCATTTGAGAGCTCTGATGGGTCTTGCAGTGTGTAGTGGTAGCATTTTTAGTCCTTGCTAGAATGGTGGGTTTTTTTGTATTCTGTGGCTCCTAGGGTTTGTGTACTGTGACCTCTCTTTTGTTTTAAAAGGTGTTTGGTTTAAAAAGTGTTGGTTTAAAAAGTGTGGGTTTAAAATGTGTTGGTTTAAAAGGTGTTAGTTTAAAATGTGTGGGTTTAACATGTGCGGGTTTAAAATGTGTTTTAGACTCCAAAGTCCCCCCCCCATTGTCTTCTCTCTCCTTTGTGCTTAAAAGCACAAACCTTTGTCTGAGGGGTCTGTGTGCCCCAGTGATGACCTCCTTTCATTCCTCTTTTCCCCATTGTTCCCCCCTCCTTTCCTGCCCTTTTTTAATCCTAAGTCATCTTAGGTTAAAAAAAAGTCTTCCCCTAGTAGTTTGTTTGTTTAGTCGCTAAGTTGTGTCCCATTCTTCATGACCCCTTGGATCAGAATACTCCAGGCCCTCCTGTCTTCCACTGCCTCCCGGAGTTTGGTCAAATCCATGTTGGTGTCTTCGATGACACTGTCCAACCATCTCATCCTCTGTAGTCTCCTTCTCCTCTTCCCCTAGTGGTAGTGGATGGATTAACCGCTTTTCCATTAGTTCCTATGGGAAGTAATGCTTCAACTTGCAATCAGCGCATTGAGATATGACCAAAAAACGACTTGCATGGATTAATCACGTTTCAATGCATTCCTATGGGAAATGGTGCTTCGACTTACAACCATTTCAAGTTATGACCATCTTCTGGAACGGATTAAGTTCGGAAGTTGAGGCACCAACATGTATTCATACATGTGGTTTCAGAATTCTAGGAAACCATCCCTGTAAAGTTTGGAGGCATAAAGTGACTTACATTATCAGTGCTATGTATAATTGCTTTGCAGATCACCAGTACCGTATTTTTCCTCCTTTTCCCTCCTTTTTCCTAAAATCATTACACTAAAAATTGAGGGGGGTCTTTTACACAGAAGTAAGCTAAGAACACAGAGAGAACAAAACTGCCGGTACCTTGCCTCTGTAAACAGGATTCCTTCAATTAGGAGGCTTAGCTTCTTCCAGTCAGGAGACTTAGCTTCCTCCAGTTATGGAACTGACGTCATCTGATGCTGAACAAACCAATTGGAACACACCTCGTTGGAGGTGGAGCCTGTAGGCTCAGATTCAAGAGGGACTCCTAATGTCTGAGCGTTCTGAGCCCAGAGGCTGAATATTCAAAAGCTATGTTTTCTTAATTTGGGGGTTAGAAAAGTGGTGGGGGCGTCTTATAAACGGGGGCATCTTGTAAATTGAAAAATAGCTCTTTCACCTGCCTTTATTTTTTTTTAATTATTATTATTTTTAAGGATGAAAGGTGGCGTCATCTGAAAAAAGCATAATAATTTCGTTGTTCATCACTAATTTTCCTAAACCTTCTAGGTCCAATTTATGCACACCATACCATGTTTAAGTGTAATGTACCTAACATGTACATTGATAAGAAAATCTTTATTGTGAGGAGAAGATAGTAATAGAGCCTCAATTGTTAATACTGCATTCAGCATTATTGTGAAAAACTGGAATGCTTAAAAAGGAATTTCTTATTTTTAAAAGGTGAAGTAAATTTCTCAACTGTATAGCAACCATTAAGAAGATTGTGTCAGTATTCACTGTCAGCTTCATTTTCAAAAGAGCCCCAAAATAAAGAACAGATATCTCCAAACCATTTAGTATTGCGAGGAAGAAATAACCTTCTTGGAATACTCTAGTAATTATAGACCATTTGGATGAATTGAGTAAGACTAAGACTTGGAAATTAGTCCAAATTATATTTGGGAGAGATCACATGGCCAATATTTTCACATACTGAATTGATGCATTGAATGAGACATCTAGGTGGAAATATCAGACAGATAGTTGGAGATAATGGACTAAATGTAAGAAGAAAGCTTAGATAGTGTCAGCATCGTCATGTAGATCAGTGGTTCTTAACCTTTGTTACTCGGATGCTTTTGAACTGCAACTCCCAGAAACCCCAGTCAGGACAGCTGGTGGTGAAGGCTTCTGGGAGTTGAAGTCCAAAACTCCTGAGTAACCCAAGGTTAAGAACCAGTGATGTAGATGGTACTGAAATCCATAAGATATCATAATGCAGCCCAAATATCCTATGCATAGAGAGGAAACAATGTCTGACTAGGAACAAAACTCTAAGAGGTTCAGACAAGGAAGGCAGAGGAGCGGTGCCCTCTAATGCAGGGGTCCCCAAGCCCCAGTCCTCGGCCTGGTGCCAGTCTTTGGGCTTCCCAGGAGTGGGCCGCGGAGATGAATCTCCCCCCCACACACACACACGGTGGGTGCACTCATGTGTGTGTGTCATGCTCGGGCACATGCACGCAACCACGACATCCCTGTGACCGCGACACCCCTCATGAGCATGACATGTCCACCCTTGAGTACAGGGGCGCCACACCCCCTTGCGCAGAGGCCCCCCCACAACCAATCCGCAGTTCCAAAAAGGTTGGGGACCATTGCTCTAATGGACACCATGAATTGATGATTTGACAGGCAGGAAGGGATCCAGCTAAGAAGAGAAATGGAAGTATACAGTGTGGAGAAATGTGAGGAGGAAGAGGTGGTCATTGTTACCTGAAAGAGCAAAACAGTCCAGAAGAGCAAGAGATCTTTCAGATTTAGCACTGAAGAAGTTTATTAGGGCTTCTGGCTTTATTAAAATTCTGATTCTTAGCAAATTAAGGGAAGACCAAGAATAGAGAGGCAAGAATAGATTACAGGGAAAGATAATAGTTGGTCAGGATGGGTCAAGGGCAAGGTTCCCTCTCAGTTGTGCACATGTGCAGCGCTGCATTGATCCCGTGCATCCAGATCAGTGTTGCTGCTGGTTTTGGGTGGAACCCCACACATGTGGGCGGCCGAGCTCTGTGCAGAAATTAAATGGGATGT